GGGGGGCCTCCGTCCAGCGTGCCAGCAGGGATTGTGCCCTTTGGGGGTCATTGACCCCCAAGCCCTTCAGGGGCTACTTTCATTGTCCACCTCTGTCACTGGATGAGAATACCAGCTCCATTCACTCGGCCATTTGTCCCACCTTTTCTTCCCCTTTCCTCTCTTCCCCCGTCTCTCTTTCTCTCCCCACCTGTCTCTCCCTCTCTTTCTCTCTCTCCCCCCTTTTTCTTTGTCTCTCCCCTTCTCTCTCTCTTTCTCCCTCTCTCTCCCCCCTCTCTCTCCCCCCTCTTTTTCTCTGTCACTCTCTCTCTTTCTCTTTCTCTCTCCTTTTCTTTCTCTCTCTCTCTCCTTTCTCTCTCCTTTTCTTTCTCTCTCTCTCTCCTTTCTATCTCCTTTTCTTTCTCTCTCTCTCTTTCTCTCCCTCTCTCTCCTTTTCTTTCTCTCTCCTTTCTCCTTTTCTTTCTCTCCTTCTCTCTTTCTCTCTCTGTCTCTGTGTCTTTCTGTTTCTTTTCACTTATCAACCCACCCACCTATGTCTTTCTAGATATCTACTTAATTTGAGTTGGGGGGGGGGGGAAGAAAAATTGCTGGTGGCCCAACCCCCAATGCAGGTAGTTCTCGACTCGTGACCACCATTGAGCCCAACATTTCTGTCGCTCAGTGAGCTAAGTCGTTGAGTGAATTTTGGCCCATTTCGCGACCTTTCTTGCCCCGGGGGCTAACCACTGAATCCCTGCAGTTGTCAAGTTAGTAACCTGGTTCTTAAGGGGAACTGTTGTAAGTCAAGGACTACCGTTCTGACCCGTGGCACGAGGGATACATCTCCCCTGGTTTGGAGTCGGGGTTCATTTCTGGGGGGGGGGGGGGGGGATCTCATCCCCCTCCTGCTTGCACCTAACTGGGAACGATCTGCCTTCTGACCCCAGAATTCTTCCTCGCTTGGCAGGCACAACTAAGCAGCAGCACCGAAGCCTTGGAGGAGGCCCAGAAACAGGGCAAGGCGCTGCAGCAACAGGTAGGCAGCACCTCGTGGCTTGGAGGTATGAGCCATGCAGCCCAGATCGGTGGCCTTTGGCAGGCAGGAGGTGGAACCTTTCGGCTAACCGACTTTGCAACGCACAGACGGTGGCTCGAGGCAGCTTCAAAAATTTTAGCAAGGGGTTTTCTGCCCGGTTGCTGGTTGGGTGTGGCCTAGTTGGCCTCCTGCACCACGGCCAGGTTGGGTGGGGGGGCAGAACTAAAAATGCAGCCTTCGTTAGCCTCAGGCGAAGGTTTGACCCTGGTCAACACCTGAAAGGGTGTATGAAATTTGAACAAGGAAGAAGGTGCAAGTGATGAGACAAGACCAGGCTTCTAAGGAAACTGAAGGGTGGGTTTTAACCAGACATCATAGCGACAACGCTTAGAGTGGCATCCCGTTCTGACAACAAGTGACACATTTTTTTTTTCTCTCTTTCTTCTGGTCAGCTGGCAGATCTGACCTCGTTGTTACAGGAAAAGGAGCAACAGATTGCAGCCAAAACAGAGAATTTCCTGAAATGGGAGGAAGAGGCAAAATCGTTAAGGCAAGGTGAGACTATTTGCCAGCATTTATTTTTATTTTTTGGGGCTTCTCTCAAAATCTCTCATTGGATGTGTCTGCCTTCTCACTTCCACTCCAGTGTTCACCTCTGTCTCTTTTTCTCCAGGTCATGACCTGCTTTTGCTGCAGACGCATCAGCTGCAATCCAGCCTCGAGACGTGCCAGGGCCAGGCGGCGGAGAAGGAGGCCGCCTTGCAGAAGCAGCTGTGGGCTCTCCAGGCGCAGCTCCAGGAACAGCAAGAATGCCTGCTAGCCAGGGAGAAGCAAGTGAGTGAATTTAAAAAAGAAGAAGTCCTTCCCGTGGACTTCCCAAAGGTTGTGCTAAGTTTGTTGGAAGCTGCCCTTGTCTTAACCTCTCTGAGAACCATCCGTGGTTACTGGGGGTGTTTATTTGTGACCTCAGAGGTGTGGCATCTTCTTGGAACAGCCAAAAGGACTGCGTTGTAAATTGGGGGCAGGAGGTGTCGAATTTCCACCTTCCTGTTGAGAGAAGGGTGTCTAACATAGATGGGGTCATAAAAATATCCCAATAAAAGAAACAGGAGAGAGCAATGCAAAAAACAATTCTTACGTTAAGATTCAGAGGTTTATTTCATGAGCAACTTGGAACATGGACCTCATAACTTCTATCAATAACCCCATTGCCATGAGGTCCACCGACAGAGCTGAGTCCAGCAAGGAGTAGCTCTGGCCAGCGGCCCTGAACTCATCCCAAGACATTCTTTTCATAGTTTTCTGCACACGTTTCACAACTTACTTCCTTGTCCTTCCTTACTGACAGACCGTCTCCGCATATACCCCGCGTACATCTCAAACCTCTCTCCATCGGCTGCTTTGAGTTCCTGATTTCTCGCGGCTTTCAAAACCACGTACTTTTGCAAAATCACATTTCGCAGCAGCCGCTTAGCAGGATCACAAATAGTTCTGATACACGTTGAAATCTTTCTGTCTTAAACTTTGGTTCGTGTAGCCTTTTTTTTGGGTGGGGGGCCTGCTATCCTTCTGAGTCCTATGGACTCTGGTAGTCCAATAAGGCTATATTTCCGTTTCTCACAATGGACTCTTCCAAATCAATGGTGCCCTCCATCCAAAATGGTGGATTGGCCTGCCTTGAAAAGAGCAACCCTTACCTTTCAAATGCAGACGGTCCGCTGAACCTTACCCTGGTGGGTTAGAGGAGCTCCTACGTTGCTTTACACACACAAAAATATATATATATATCCAGGATAACTGAACTCTGTTTCCTTCTTGCTGTACAGGCTGCGGTGTTAGAATTAGCCTCTATGGCTTTGGAAGACCAGCTACACCTTTCGGAAGATGGAGAGCCGGAAGCCAACGGAGAACTGCTTTCCTCAGATGCAGTCCAACTCCAGAAGGAGAACCAAGACCTGGAACAGCAGATAGTGGAAAAAAACAAGGTGAAGACTGGGTTGGTTTTGGTACCTCTTTTTTATTTATTTATCCCGGTCCGTTGTCTTCTCCGCTGATCTTTTTCTCAGGAGTTGTTCTTATCCCAAGGTTAATTCAGGTGGGCTGTCAGGATTCCAGGCGGTTGCCCTAATTAAATCATGAGCTTCGAGCTCAAAAACTTCAAAGGATTTAATCGGAGCAAACATGCCGGCATGGCCTGCATGAAGCCGATTCTGAGACACGTAGTTCACTATCACCTATGACCCCGGTTTCCCCCCTTCTGGGTGTGTCATAATTCATATTCTCCAACAAAACACGTTCATAGCTGAGGGTCCTCAATCATGTTCTCCAATTAGGGATTTTCAGGGCAGAAATTCCAGTAGCTTAGTTACAATCTTTGCAAGATAAAAACGGAATGCATCTGAATTTTGATCACGTGCCACAACGGTTGTCATATGAAAAATGGTCACAAGGCCCGATTTTCAGTGCCGTTGTAATTTTGAATGGTCGCTAAACAAACTCTTGTAAGTTGAGGGCCAACTTTAAAAAAATAATAATAGAAAACTGGAGGGAAATTGACCCTTTCCTTCCCAAAGGTAAAAATAGCAGCTTGGACTGTGAATTTTGCTCGGTCTTTTTTCCCCCCTCCTCTCTCGAGGTGCTCAGGAGTGCTCAGTGACTTCTATTTTTTGGGGGGGTGGGGGAAGGTTATCATTGGAAGTTTGGGGGACTCGAGATCTCTTTCCTTTCCTCCCTCCTGCTAGATGATAAAGCAGCTACAGCAGAGAATGGCAGAGCTGAAAAAAACGTTGCAGAAAGAGCTTGTGAGTATCAACCTTTCCAGATAAAATTTATCCGCGGCGGCGCAGTGGTTGGAGGGAAGTACGGCAGGCTGCTTCTGCTGACTGACTGCAATTTGGCAGTTTGAATCCCACCAGGCTCCAGGTTGACTCAGCCTTCCCTCCTTCCGAGGTGGGTCAAACGAGGACCCAGATTGTTGGGGGGCAAGAGGCTGACTCTGTCAACCGCTTAGAGAGGGCCGGAAAGCACTGCGAAGCGGTATATAAGTCCAAGGGCTGTTGCTATCCTCACTAAGCCTGGCTTCCATGCTTCAACACTCCACACATGTGCTTCTGTTCAACAGCCACGCACCGTGGCCCGAAGGAATACCTGTCAGTTCTCTTTGCTTTTTGGTGGGGACACACACAAGACAGGGGCCACCCAAACAAGGTTGGTTGCTGTATGCTTAGCCCTTGTTGTTGCTCCAGCACCATCTCAAGAGTTTGCTCCAGGTTGTGATTCCAAAGGTCCAAGCAATCAAATTGCTCATCTGACAGGCCGTGATGTTCCCCATTAGCCCGTTTGGATTGAGAAGATGCCCCAAAGGTGCTTTTTTCAGGAAAAAAATGGACCAGTAAGTCCAGTTGCCTCTTGAAAAGATCACCTTTGGGAGAACCATGACTTGATGGATGACTGGGAATCTCCACGGACACCTTGAGAAGATGCTCTCCATTCTGATCCACCGGCCTGTCAATCACAGTTGGGCAGGGATTCCACAGGGGTTCCTCTCTATGATTTTAAAGAGATAGAGATGACTTTAAAGCAGACACGTTGATGACTATAATTCGATGCAGCCCTTCTTTTGGTCTGATCCTTGTGGGGGGGGGGGTTTGGGCTGTTATTTTATTATCCGGTCCTGGAGCCCCACGTAAGTGACATAAGACCGCAGTAGAGATACTCCTCGACTTAGAGCCTTTGCACTCTGCTCCCTCTTGCTCTTCAGTCCAGCACTTACGTTTTTTTCTCCTTTCAGAAAATTAGACCTGATGGGGAACTCCCTGAAGTGCCCACGGCGGGTTTGACTGTAACAAACAACTCGGATCTGAGCGACTCCCGAGAGATCAACTTCGAGTATTTGAAGCACGTGGTGCTAAAATTTATGTCCTGCCGGGAATCAGAGGTAAAAGGGGGAAAAAGATAGGTAGGTAGGTAGGTAGGTAGGTAGGTAGAGAGAGAGAGAGAGAGAGAGAGAGAGAAAGAGAGAGAGAGAGAGAGAACCTTAGTTTTATCTTCATGGCTTTTGTGCAGGGGGATCCTCTTCAGGGTAAGGATTTCTACCTTTTGCAGGGTCTTATAAAAGGAAAGTGAGAAAAGACCAATACTGAGAAGAAAATGGGCTATTTACCTTGACAAAGGAACCTCTGTTTATAAATTGTACGGCCACGTCTCAAAGCTGGAACATTTGCAGTAAAGGTTTAGAGTGAAGGACATTGCACTTTTAAATTTTGGCACATTTATAATTTAGGTCCATGAAAAATGACCCGCAAGCCACTGCTGGGAATTCAGAAGAGAAATTGATTTATTTATTTTTTTAAGGCTAAGAGCTTTGGTTTCTGGTCAGCTGTCCCTCGCTGTCCTTCAGCGATCCAATTTACCTTGTCTAAAAAAAAACGATCCGCTTTTGGTAACCTGGTGGTCTCTCTGGTGGTGTTCCAGGCACTTCATCTGATCAAGGCTTTGTCCGTGTTGCTCAACTTCTCCCCAGAGGAAGAAAACATGGTCAAGGAAACCTTGGAGTACAAGGTAAGGGGGCCACCGATAAATCTGAACTGAGATCTGATCCTGAACCGTCGTGCCTAATAGGAACGGCTCAAAGATAGCTCCAAAGCCAACAAAGGGTGGGGGGATTCTCCTCTTCGCCACCCCTTAAGCAGGTAGGAGGGGCCTTTCCGGGGGTGGGATTCAAATTTTTTAAACAACTGGTTCTGTGGGCGTGGCTTAGTTGGTGGGCGTGGCTTGGTGGGCATGTGACTGGCTGGGCGTGGCCAACTCAACATCACTCACATAGAGGGACGCATCTCCTCGCCTGGCCTCTTGTGACTGTGGGGATGCTGCAACAGTTGTGTGAAAAAGGGTCATAAGTCACTTTTTTTCAGTGCCATTGTAACTTTGAATGGTCCCTCCACACAAGCAAAGTACCAGCAAAGGAGGGGGAAAAAACTCCAGAGAAGTTCCTGAGACAGGAAGTCTAGTCCTGCCAAGAATGTAATAAGGGTTAACGGAGAGGCAGTTTCTGTCAGCAACACCAGAATGTTTCCTTCCTGCCTTCCTTACAGGATTAGCCCTGTAATTTCTTCTAACAACCGGTTCTCCGAACTGCTTAGGATGTTAACAACTGAAGCTAGCAAATGGGTGCAAACCTGTAAATCCCACCCCTGGACGTTTCCCGAGAATCGTGACCACTCCTCCCAATTATTGACCTTTCCGTCTTTCAGATGTCCTGGTTCGGTTCCAAGCCGCTTCCCAGGGGCAGCGTCCGGCCTTCCGTCTCCAACCCAAAGATGATGTGGTCCTGAAGACGGTTCTGGCTCCCGATTTGTTGGGTTTGGTGGGAGGGGGGTGGTGGTATTGGTGGTGGTTCTTTCCCCTATGAAAAGATGCACCCGACTACGGTGGTTTTTTTGATGGCGGTGACGTCACGCCACGAACTTGGGGAGGTAGAGGAAGAAGTTTACACAAAGCTGACCTGTGAAAGGAGGGCCTCTCTCCCCCCCATTGCTTTTGTGGGACGAGTTTTACTACAGGCAGGATCTTAAAGGTGCCTTTTGGGGTTTTTGCAAGCCACCAACCTCTCCAGCGACGTACAGCAGGGATAGAGAAAGTCTTTCCCATTTTCTTTCTGGTGGCATTGCAGTCCTTAGGGAGGATGGAGAAGCAATTCTGCCCACCACGCTCAACTTATCAACACTACACACTCCGGGAAAAGGTTACTAACAGTTGAGGCTGCCAAGGGTTTGGAGGAGGGAAGGAGTTCTAAAGTTTTATTTTATTTTTCTCTCTCTCTTCTTCTTCTTCTTCAAAGAAAAACGGTTTTTAAGCAGGCCTTTGTGGCACTCTAGCTTTTTTTAAACTAATAAACGGATGTATCAGTGGCCAGGTGGGGAAGGAAACGGAAATTGGATGGGCGTGGCAGCCGAAAAACCACCCAACTCCCCCCTCGACAGCCATCCCAGCGATGAGTGGCAGAGCCAGGCTAATTGCAGCCACGCTCTTCCTTAGCCGCAAGGAAGCGTGGACATTCATAAAACCCATGTGGCTGCTTTATTTTTTTTTAATTTTCTTTTTTCCAATGGGTCCATTCATACCCTGGAGCGCCCAAAGCCGGTTCGAACTTAAAAGCAGCCGTGTTTTTCCCCCCAACCCACTTAAAACCACCCTACTTTTGAGCAAATAAAACTGCAGTGTTTTTAACTATTTAGAGACCGGCTGATAAGGTTGCAGTGGGCCTTTCTTTGGGGGGGGAAAAAGGACATTTTGGCAGTCCCGCACCACTGTTTTCCTGCGCATTGCTATGTAGCTAGTCTCTCTTTTTTTTTTCCCACCGGCTTTTGGAAACGGCTGGCCAGAGATTCCCTTTGAGGCCAGGGGTCTTCAGGTAAACCCTCTAAAAGAAAAGCTGGCCGCCTTCACCCGCCTTCCTTTTGAGCGGTGAAGCGGGCCGAGCAAGGCGGCGACGGGTTGTAGCAAACGAATGCACTTTTCCTTCCTTGTACAGAGAGACCCTAAACTGACCCCGGGGGTTGGGGGTCTACAGGAAAAGCCCTTAGGTGGCTTCTTTGGGGAGGCCACTCAATTCTGTGTACATAATGGATGGACTCTTTTAACGATGGATGCGCGATGGCTTAAGTGAGACCTCATTCGTGGTGCAATACAGGTTTTCTTTTTTTTGGATTATTAACCCTGGAGGTGTGATTCTTGACCGTTTTGTTTTTTTTAAATTCTTCCTTTGGTGGGATGGAGGGGTGGGTGTAACAACTGGTTCGGTGATCGCCTATCCATCCCCTGCCACACCCACCCAGCCCACAGAACCAGTCGTAAAAAAAAAAAAATTGGAATCCCAGGGTCTCCTGCTTGGGTGGGTGGGGGGTTGGACTAGATGACCTACAAGGTCCCTTTCGATTCTGTTAATCTGATTCCGTTTAAGGAACCGTTAGGTCTCTCTCTCTGGAAGACAAAGCAATCAGCCAGAGCTGGTTTAAAGTAACTCTCCAAGAACTTTTATTTTTAATTACAGAGCAGCAGGCACTTTACATGAAACCGACGTCCGCGCTGAGCCCGGCGATTCTTTTAATTATGTACAAAAACCCACCCCCCAAAGCCCCCTCGCGGTGAGAACACCTGCCTTCCCATAACGCCCCCAAACCTCTCCGCCTCTCACACCGCAGCCACCACCCCCTCCCCATCCCCCCCGCCCACTGCAGACATGTGTTACTCTTTAAATTAAAAGTTTCACACCCACACACGCAACATTCACTGGGCCCCAGCAGCATCAGCAACGCTGCCCTTCAGGGAACGGGCATCTGGTTGCCAACGCAACTCACACCCCCGTTTCCCCCTTTCACTGCCGCACAAAATTGCAGGCTGCCTCCCCCTCTTCCCGGCTCTTGATTCCAGCAAACGAAGGCACCAGCTTTCCTTCCTTCCTTCCTTCTCCCAACTGTGTTTCGGGTGGGAGGCTGCCGGTCCCGGAGAAGTAGCCAAAACGTGGGGGGAGGGGGGGGGTTCTTTTCCCGGCTCCCCCCAAAAATGTTCTTGGTGTCTCGGGTCGAGGGACTTTTTAAACCGTTTTCCGTGCGGTGAGGACCCGGACGATGGAGCCAAGTCCGCCTATCGCTAATGCCTGAGAAGAGAAAAGGGAAATTAGCAGCTGCGGCACGTCAGCTGGACTCACCAAACGAAACCCATTGTTCATCCACCGAGGCGGAAGTTTTTTTGGCCAGGCCCTCCAGCAGCCGAATCAGGAGGAGGTGTGGGAGTCAGGGGTCAGCATTAGGGCGACAGGAGAGCTCCGAGGGGGAAGAGGGAATAAGAGAGGGGGGGCGGAGCCTGGGCTGTCCGTCAGCCCTCAGATGGAGAGTCAAACAGCCCCCCCCCCCAGGTCTGGAGGTGGCTGATAAGGAAGAGGAGGAACAACTGGGTCCAGTGCCTGACACAGAAGGCAGAGGAGAGGAGAGCAGCGGAAATCTATGGGCCGGTCCTTGGGACGGAAGAGCCACCACTGTTAGCGAAGCTCCACCTTAGCTCTGGGGATCAAAGGCAGGTGTGGTAGAGAACTATTCATCTCCCTGCCGGATGGACTTGTTAGCCTGCCGTGAGAGAGAAACGCCTAATAAAGGAATCTTTGAGGTAACTTCAGAGGGTTTGTTGTGTTTGAGGAGCTGGGTCAGAAGAGGCTTTTTTTTTTTTAATAGCAAAAGTCTAAAAGTACTTTTAGACTTTCTGCACAGCTACCTTTTCATAGGACGTCGTGCTGAGACAAGGTTGAGGCAGCGATATGGGCTTAATTTCACGAAATGATATATATCGTCCCTCTCGCTGTCAAGAAGCTTCTTCAGCTCTGGTTGAAGGCCCTGAACGAGGAATTTAGCTTCCAAGGTGGGAACCCCGCGTACCTTTTCATGCCACTGGAGGAGTATAGCGCTGCTGTTCTCCGTCGGCTTTTCGAACCCTTTGTAAATATACTTCATGAGCAAGTCGATGCCGCTGCTGTCTAAGGAGTTGACCGCCTGCTCGATCTCGCTGCTTTTGAAGGACGTGAGGACTTTCAGCACCACTTCCTGGGCCTGCTCCTGAGGGGGAAAGGCAACGGAAGCCGGGTGAAGCCACCAGCGTCGTCCCAACTCCAGAAGGATTCTCTGAATCCGCTCTCTTAAGAGACGAACGGTCGCAAGTGCGAAAAACAGTCATCAGCCCCAGCGCCGTTGTAACTTCGAATGGCCACTAAACAAGCACCTGTACACCTAAGGCATGCCATTCCTTTGAAGAATGAGCTCAGGCATGGCTGTCTCCAATCCCCTAAGTAACCTCCAAGTGGCTGGGTTCACATGAAAACTACCTTATCTATCCATCCATCTATCTATCCATCTTATCTATCCATCTTCTATCCATCCAATCCATCCATCTTATTCACCCATCCATCATCTCCATCCATTCAATCCATCTATCCATCTTATCTATCCATCTATGATCTCTATCCATCCATTTATCTTATCCCTCCCTCCCTCCATCATCTCTAATCTCCTTATCTATTTCTCTTTATCTATCTTTGCCGACTTTCCTGCCCTCCAGAATTCTCACCAACGAGGGCAGAGGTCTCCAAACTTGGCAACTTTTAAGACTTGTGGACTTCCAACTCCAACGCATAGCTGGCTGAGGAATTCTGGGAGTTGAAGTTTCACAACCCTTGAAAGTTGCCAAGTTTGGGGACCCCTGAACTAGGGGATGGGATTTGAGGCCAGGTAGTTACGTCGAGACACGAGGAAATATTTTTTTTAAAAAAAAACAAATCTCTTTTACCTTTGCAACTGGGTTCTTGGTGTTCACAGGTGAGTTTCGTAAAGCTGCATGGAAAGCCCGAAGCAAATCTCCCGTGGGATAAATGAAACTAAGGAATTTGTGGCTGTGTTGTGCAGTCATAAAACTCCCCCCTCCCCTCCCAAAAACAATCTATATTAACAATCCCTAACAAGGCCAGCGATGGAAGGAGTGTTCTTTCCAATGAGGCTGGCAGTGGGCTAGGTACAACACAACTAGGCTACAACATCGAAGAGAAATCTTCGCCTAGGAGAACCAAGTCGTCCTTATTATGTTTTAGTAAACACTGGATCTCAAAATAATAAATAAATGTGTTTTCAACATCGTCTCTCTCGCCTCCTAGGAGAGCAGCGAGGGGAAAAGATTTGCGACGGGTCTGGATAATGTAGCTTCGGTAACGAAATGGACCCCCCGTATGCTGGGTGGCACAACAATCCTAATAAACCAATCGCACGAGCGAAGCCGCGGCAAAGCCAGCCAAGGTTAAACTTGGCCAAGGAGTGGACGCAAACGCAGCCTAAAGAACCTGGTTGGTTTGGAGTTTTTTTTTCCTCCCCTACACCGTGATATTTTTCTAAATTCCGCTCTGGGTAAATGTCCATTTTCCCCCTCCTGCGTTGCTGAAAAAAGGGCAGAATCAGCAGAAGGTGCGCCCTGCCAGCCTCCAGACTGCTCTGGTAGCCCCACCTTCCTACAACTCTGTCGTGGCTTAAGCAGGAACAGGCCGAGCGACATTCATGGATCCCGGCTGGCGGAAACAAGCACGCACACACACACACATTCCTGTGTCTTGAGAGCCAGCCAGACTGGTCCCTTCCTGCCCAAGCAGATTCTGCACATGACGATAACTGCATGGCATCACGGCCCGGACAGGCCTTTGTCATTCCTGGTGCACTGAGAACGCCCCGGGGTGGGTTTTTTTTAAAAAAAATTCCACCCACCCTTCCTGTAACATTATTTCACTTCTGCGGGGCTTGCCAGGTTTTTCGGTCACAGGCTAAGCTGCACACCTTCATTTCAAAGAGTCTTTCTTTCTTTCTCTTTCTGTCTTTCTTTCTTCCTTCCTTCCTCTCTCTCTCTCTCGCTCTCTCTTTCTTTCTTTCTTCTCTTTTTTGAAGGTGTCTCAGCAGCTCTCCGGAAGTTACAAAAAAGGAAAGAAATTGGCAGATCAAAGTCGCAAGGCTGCACAGATGCTGCCACCTGGCAACCACAGGGAACAAATGCCCACACAGCGCCCAGCATTGTCTCAACATGTCTTTTACGACTGCCTCCTCCTTCTGTTGCCTTAAACAACAAGCAATTCCCGTTAGATGCTCAAGCCAGGGTGGGGAGGGAGGGAGGGAGGCGTGTGTGGCTGTGAAATTCACATCTCACTCAAGGACAGGCCTCAACCTGCAGCCCCGGGAAAAGAAAAAGGCATATAAAGACATACACACACACACATATTTGCTTCTCTTTCTCTGCATTTGCAGCATATCTCTACCTACCTACCTCTCTCTTCTCTCTACCTACCTATCTCAATCTGTTTTCTCTGTCTTCTACCTACCTATCTCTCTCTCTTATCTACCTACCTACCTACCTTTTAGATACCCTGCAAATGCAGAGAAAGAGAAGCGAATCCAGACAGACAAGCCAGAAAGGGAGTTCTAACGCAAGACCCTGGCAGGCTAGGAATGAACCGGTGGGCGTATAAATGCCAAAAGCAAACCCCGAAGCAGCGATCAAGCCCGGATAGAAATAGACACGACTGTTGCCAGAAGTGCCATAAAAAACTGCCAAGAGATCTGAAACGAGGCTGCGGGCACCACCAGCGGCCAAAACAGCTTAAGGGGCAGGACGTTTACTGCAGGGGAAATGTGAGGATGAGGTTAGCCAGGGAGTTTGTAAAAAAATTATTCCCCGTGGGGGTTCCTCTATTTCCAAGCAGGAAGCACACACACACAAATCACCTCCAGGCGACCCACCCAGATTAAAAAAGAAAACTTGGCAAAACCCTGAACAAGCAGCAATCTTGCTCAACATGAATGTCTAGTCACTTGCCCGGTGGAACCGCATATCAACTCAGGTTGGGGTGGGGGAGATACGAGAAATGGATGGATAAGAGAGACGAGACAGGAGGATGGGTGAGATAGGTATATATGATGGATAAAACACATAGACATATATGGTAGGTGGATAGCTAGAATAGAGACAGAAGACATGGATTCAAGGATGGAGATACAGAAATTACTGGCAGATGTAGTGGGTGGATAGAATGGAGAGAGGGGGATGGATAGATAGGATAGTTTTATACCTAGAGATAGGGGTATATGGATAGACAGAGATAAATATTAGAGATAAGACAGATGACAGTATGGATAGATACAGACCGAACACATAGAAAGATGTTGATAAATAAACGTTACTAGACAGATATATAGATGGATATAAGACTGACAACAGATACATAAAATGGATGGAAAGATGATAGATATAGACACAGACAAATGGATGGATGGATGTGATACAGATGATAAATATAGACAGAGATGGATAGATTAGATAAATGACAGAGATAGATAAATAGATGTTGGAGATAGATATAGATAGATAGATAGATAGATAGATAGATGATAGATGATAGATAGATAGATGATAGATACTGAGAGAGAGTAGATAGATTGGGACGGATGGGTGGAGAGACATGATGACGGACAATGAATGGATAGATGGGTAGAAAGGTATATTGACACATAAGATAGCATGGATGGATGGATGATGGGTGCATGGATAGATGGGGAGATAAATACATTGAGTGGATAAATTAGATAAATGGATACTAGATAGATGATAGATAAATTGAGACAGGCTGGCGGGATGAGACGGGATGGAGAGCTGGAAGGGAAATAGATAGAAATGGATAGATGGAAAGGCAGGATGGATAGATCAATACAGACAGCCGATGGGCAGGCGGGCAGGGAGAGAGCCTGGCCCAGTTGATCCCGGGATGGCGATGAAAGGGGGGGGGGGGGACCCCCGTCCAGGCAGGGAAGGGAAGGGAGGAGGGGGCGGGGGCGGCGTATGGGTCTTGGAGTCCCGGCAAGGCCTCCTTCCTCCTCCTCCTCCCCCCCCCAACCGAGAGGAGCCCCCCCGGAAAGGATATTGCCGCAGCGCCGCCTCCACCTCCGGGCCGGGCCCTCCGTTGCCCTCGGCCGCGCCGGCTCCGCTCCCGGCCTCGGCGGCGTCGGGCTCCTCCACGAAGCGGTTCTCGTCGAACTGGTCGATGTCCAGGCGGCGGAAGCGCGACGAGTGGGAGCTCCGCGCCATGGCCGCGCCGGGCGGGCGCCAAACAGCTCCGCTCGCACGCCGAACCGCCGCGGAAGCGGAAACCCCGCCCGCCCGGAGGAGGGGGGGCCTCGGCGGGGGCGTGGCCCGGGACGGACGTTCGGCCAGGGGGAGGGGCTTCGCCTGGGGCGTGTCCCGCTGGGGAGGAGTTCTAGCGGCGCCTCGGAGGGGTGGAAGGTCACGTGACCCTTCTTTCTTCCTTCCTGCTCCCCCCCCACTTCTTTATGGGATTCGGTTTCGCTTCTGTTCGTTCTTTCCCGTTGCTTTACTCTCTCTCTCTCTCCTCTCTATCATCTCTCCTCTCTATCATCTCTCCCTCCCTCCCAACCTCCTTATCTATCCATCTATCTATATCCATCTCTCTCTCTTTCTCTCTCTCTCTAATCTATATGTATCCATCCATCTATCTATCCATCTCTATCTAATCTAACTCTCTCTATCCATCTATCTATATCCATATCTCTCTCCCTAATCTATATCTATCCATCCATCTCTAAGTATATATCTCTATATCTATTCATATTTTAATTTTTATTTATTTATTTTGATTTGTCAATTGCTTACAAGATAATAGGTATAAGTATAAAGATAGTTATGAATACATGTATACATATAAGAAAAATAAAAGAAACAATAGGACAGGGACGATAGGCAAGTTGGTGCACCTATGCACGCCCCATAGATAGATAGATGATAGATAGATAGATAGATAGATAGATAGATAGATAGATAATACTATCTTATCTATCCATTCATCCATCCATCCATCATCTAATCTAGTCTCCATTTTATCCATCTATTTTAACTATATCTCTGTTGGTCTTATACCTGTCTATCATATCTTATCATTTCTATCCTATCTTTCTATTCTATCACCTACCTTCCTATCTATCTCTATCATGTCCATGCAGTCATCCATCTCTATGTTCATCCATCTTTATCTTTGAAAGTTGAGTGGATAGATAGATGGACAGACAGACACACTCCCCCCATTGATCCTGAGATCAGTTGATCCTGGGATCTACCTGGGAGCATAGAGTACACCAACCCGACCCAACACCATCATCCTTATTTATCCTTTTATTATTTTTATAAACAACTCCAGGCGGTGAACAGATCTAACACTCCTTCCATTTTGTATGTTCCTCACAACAACCCTGTGAGGTGGATCAGGCAGAGAGAAGGAGGGAGGGAGGGATAGGCTCAAAGTCACCCAGCTGGCTTTCTGTTTAAAAATGGGATTAGAGCCCAATGTCAATTAAGGCACCAATTTGGCTCAGCTTAAGGGCAAAATGTGGGGTTCAAACACCTCTCATTTTCAGCCAATGGGAAGAGGCCTGAGAAAGAGCAGGACATTGGCTGGTGCGCAGGTTGAGGGGCCAATGGGATGACCCGGCTAAGGGCCAATAAAAATAGGGAGGGCCAGGTTGGGGCCACCAATCAGCAGAGAGCGGGTTTGGGGCAAAAAGGGTATAAAAGGAGGCTGTGAGCAGAGGGGCAGTCAGACCAGCAGTGGGAAGAGGAAGATATTGTGGGTAGAAGGCACAAGAGGATAGAAGGTAGAAGAAACAAAAGGAAGATAGAAGGCTGAACATAGAAGCAGAAGAGGAAGATACTGTAGAAAGAAGGCAGAAGATAAAAGAGGGAAGATAGAAGAAATTTCTGAGGAAAACAAGATATTAAAGAAAGGAGCTGAAGCAGCATCACTGCAAGAAGTCACTGAGGTCTGCCTGCTAAGCCTTTTTAAAGGCAAAACAAAGCTGAAACTAGTTTTCTAGTCTTCATGTTCCTGAGAACCCAAGAATTTCCTTCTGGAAGATGCTGAGGGGTGATGCAGGAAAATAAAAACAAAGCCAAGAATCTGGGGTGACTCTTGACTTTTGTGAGTAGAATAAACCAGGTCTGATTTAAGATTAAAAAAAACTTTGGGGGAGAAACTTGTCAAAAGCAAACCAGGTTGCTGAGACCAGTGTAGTTTTTTGTATAGAATTTATCCACTGAAAGGTGTTTTAAATAACTGCCTTTAAAGGCCTTATTTTGGGCAAAAGTTTTTTTTAAAATATTTATCTTGGAATATTGTGGCCCTGATTTATATACAGGGGAGAAAAACTGCTGCATTTCAAGGTTATTTCAGAATCTTGCAGCTAATCCTGAATTTTGAAAGGTGGGTAGTAAAACTGCCTAAGGTAATATTTCTTCCACAAGATAGTAATATATATATATATATCAAATGGGTACTGCTTGAACAATTTCTACATTGCTACAACTAGGAGTTTGAAATAAAATAAAAATTGTATAAACATTTCAAGGTGCTGAAGAGATAAAACACCAAATGTCTTTACTCATGCTGTGTGCTGGACTGGTTTAACAATTTTAACAAACACATTTTCCATATGAGATCTTAAAATATCTCCCAAAATAATTGTTGAGGGCAAAATATCCCTAGCCCAAAAATCTTCCTTAGATCAGCACTTCCAGAAGCCCAAATGTATTTACAAAATATCCCCTGAAAAAGCCAACAGTGTGTTTTAGTCAAGGTGGGCACATGAAGGCACTCATTCACAACAACATACGGTTTTATTTTCAAGTTTCACCTAGAGGCAGGGGTTCAAGATTATCACTTTTATTAAAAAATACAAGGTATCTGAGAAAAATCAGAACAGTTATTTTAATGTACAAATTCAAATACCTGTAATGGGTTTCCTGTTTCACTTCCTAAAAATAAAAACAAAGCTGAAAGGAAATATATATAAGGGGCAGTTTCGTAAATCACGTATGTAGGATTTAAAATATAAACAAGGCCAGCCCACCTTTTACAGCCTAAGGATATGCCCTGAAATTGGACTAAGTAAGTTCCAACAGGCATATTAATTCAACTTTGCTGCTGAAATTTCTGAAAAACCTTATCCAAAACAAAAAAGAAGAAAAAAAAATCCCAAGCCAACTCCTGAACGAAATAAAGGAGAATCAGGCTAGTTCTGACGTCTTGCTCTGTTTTTATTTGATTTTTTTTTTATATATCGAAGGGAAAGTTTCCCCTAAAACAAAAACAGGAAATCAAAAGCACTAAATAATGTGTGTCTGTGTGTCAAGTGCTTGTGGGACATTTCAAAAGCAATCGTTTTAAGTCCTAGAAAAGGGAGGAGGCGCACGGGAAAAGGCAGATTTAAGAAACGCAACGCTACAGACCATATACAATTTTTTTTTAGATAATTTAAAAATAATAATAAAAAAAAAGCATTTCAGCAGCAAAGTGCTCCATAGGATGTACGTCACAAAGAGAGGAGGGAGGGCCGGAGGAGGTTACTTCAGAGGAAATACGGCGTGGTGGTTCTCGGAGGGATGATGCGTTCGGAATCTGGCACGGCCCGGAAGAGCTTTGGTTCTCTCGTGTTCACGTCCTTAAAGACCATGATTGAGGCGATATTCCCACAGCGGTAGCAGTAGTTTGGAGCGGACCAGACCGTCACCAGCTTCTCGTCAAACATAAATTTATACCCTTCGTGGACCAGCTGGTGGGCCCGGCAGATCAGTTTCAAGTTGTTGATGTGGACAAACTGTCGATAAAGAGAAGGAGGAGACAATTGACAGCACAAACTCAGGCTGGGGGTTTTTATACACAGGCAGTCCCTTGATTTGCGGCCACCATCGAGCCCAAAATTTCCGTCGCTAAGCGAAACATTGGTTGGGTGAGTTTTGGCCCCATTTTAACCACCTTTGGATGCCCCGGTTGTTAAGTGAATCACAGCAGTTTAGTTAAGTTAGCCCCATGGTTGTAAAGTGAATCCAGCATCCCCATCGAGTTGGCTTGTCCAAAGGGGCGGGACACTGTGACCGTCATAAATATGAGGGTTAGGTCAAAAATAAAAGCAGAGACGGGATACGGCAAAAGTCTGCATATTTTTTAGAAACCTGAACAGCAAGCGCTGTTCAACTGTTCAACTGCTATTCTTTTAATAAAGGTGAATTAAGTTCTTTGCTTCCTAGCTCAGATAATATTCTGAATAGAAATCAGACCAGCTACTGCAAGGCTCGGAAAACGAGAAACCGGGCAAAATAACGCCGGGGCGAATTTTGTCCGGAGTTTTACCTCATTGGTCACTTTAGCACCAAAAAGCCACCCGGCGCCCCGAGGACTGATGGCCCAGGTGTCCACGTCCTCTGGGTCGGACCAGACGAGATCACAGAAAGCCCCTTTGTGAGGGATCTCTTGGTTCCGCTCGATGGTTCGGATCTGGTCCAGTGTTTTGATGTCGGGAGAAAGGCCTCCGTGCACGCAGAGGATCTGTTCATCTATCAACTTGAGGGAAACAGAACAGGGGTTTTATTCGCCCTCGAAAAGTCAAAAGCTACCTGGGGTTAAGAGGAGAGAACACATAAATCCTATTTTTTTGGGGGGGGGGCCAAGGGGGGAGACACTTACCGCTGCTACCGTGAGCATGTCGAAGACTTTAGTGCAGTATCTCCAGGCGTTGGCATTGCCGTATTTTGTTTGGCATTCATCTGTTTGGGAGGAGAGAAAATAAAGGATGCCATGTTCTAGTATTTATTTTCATTTATATCCTGCCTTTATTTTAAAATAAACAGCTCAAGGTGGTAAATGTATGTAAATATTCCTTCCACCTCCTATTTTTTTCCCCACAACCACCACGCTGTGAGGTAGACTGGGCTGAGAGAGGGAGACTGGCCCAAAGTCACCCAGTTGGCTTTCATGCCTAAGATGGGGCTAAAATTCACCATTTTCTGGTGATTGGTCCACCCAGCTGGGTAATGTGGCTAAAACGGGACTAGAACTCACCGTCTCCTGGTTTCTAGCCTAGTGCCTTAACCATGAGACCTACGGTTTCCCCATCCCTGAGTACCAGGTTGAATCCCACAACCTATGAGATTTATGCTTGCTTTTAGCTGTCAGTGACAAATGTTTCTATAGCCCTTTTTAAAAAGCCACCCGAAATTGCAAGGAGCTGCAAGGAGCTGTGTCAGCTTCAAGGAACTCACCATAAAATCCGTAGACTTGGGTTATCTGTCTGCTTTCGTGATTCCCACGTAAGAGCGTGATTCGATCCGGCCACTTTGCTTTCAGGGCAAGAAGATAAGTAAATGTCTCTAGACTGTAATAGCCTCGGTCTACAAAATCACCCTGGAAGTCAAAACAATGCTTTACCATCTATTTAATTGGCAACATTGTGCTCAGACTGCAATTTTATGAATGGGTAATCAACATTAGCAGGGTTTTTATTACACTAAACAGGCAGAAAACATTGTGCTGTAGTTCTCTATGTCAACTAAAAAGAGACTCCTTTGGTCTTTTTGGCTGCCAGAAAAAGGGAGTGGGCGGAAAACAGTGTATTCCTTAAGTGCCTAGATAATCACCCTGGCAGCCCAAAGTGTGTTATTTTTTAACCTGCCTTTACTATTAGCTAGCACTCCCTTTTTCAAACTATATGCCCTCAGCAAAGGAACAGGAATGGTATTCTCAGAGCAGAACACAAAACCCACAACAGCTATCTTCTCCTGACATATCACAAAATATATTGTTCATACCATAAATATGTAGTTTGTGTCAGGAACCTGACCTCCAGTTCTGAATAATTCACATAGATCATAAAACTGAAAAGCAAAAACAAACAAGTATCCATTGAAATTATTTTGAACTTGGATGGAATTGTGGCCTTTTACAATTACTAAAGATGGTCCCAAAAACCTGACCAAAATAATAACGTGCATGCAGTTGACAGATTGTAAGACATTACAACAGCAAGGACTGATAAAAAGCTTAAAAAACAGATCTTAGGGCAAATCTGATAGCTGTTGATCCAAGGGAAACGCTACGATTTTCTCTTTTTCACTAATGCTGGCATTGTTTAGGTACCCAAGATGGCACCGCTGCTAAGCAAAAGTGAGATACGAGTTGAGGTTTGCGTAAAATCAAAAACTATGAAAATCTTAAGGAAAAAATGAACCCGACTGCTAATTAGATATATGTTAAAAGAGGACAGAATGATCATTAGGGGGAAAAAGTAGAATTAGATGGAAGAAGAAAACAGATTGAATTCTGGGAAGAAATTCTCTAGAATGAGCTAGAAGTCTCACTGGTCTGATGTACTCTTCTAGCACCCCATTTGAGCTACGGGCCTTGACAACCTTCCAAAAATTACTTAATATGAACATTTCTGCTTTACATTTGCAACGCTGTGTCAGGAAAAATGATATTTCTTTCGTCACTACGGCAACTCAGAGAGGCCATTCCCCTTCTCCTACTCAAAGCCTGCTCTTTCTTCCCCGCAAATCTGACTTCTGCACCCAGCAGTCATTCCTGTTTCCCCTAAGCTAATGGTTTCACACTCTTTACAGCAGTGTCAAAGGCAGGGTCCGTAGGAAATTATTCCACCTGTCCATGAATGTCACCGCAGACGGTAACAGGGGTAGACACCGGCTGCACGTTCGATTCTTCTAGGAGCAGGTCACAGACATAGTCGCACAACCGCTGGAAAGACAGAACAGGTCAGAGCATGGTTCACCTAGGTTGCTGACATGACAATCAAATCCCCCCTTATGGTCCCAAAATATATTATTTATTTCATTTCTGAATGGCCGTCAAAGCCCAAGAAAGGCATCCATCACTTCTTTCATGGGTGTCCATTCCATTATTTGAAGGGTCCTCGGTACTCTCTGAACTTTTGTGGTTTTCTTGCCGACCCCAAACTACGTCACAACATCAGCACTTAATCTAGCCCTTGTTACCTAGTTTGGGTGCCGAAACGCCTGCCAGACAGCACCAAGGATCCCACAGCCCTCCTCCTCCTCCTCCTCCTCTATGCAAACCCCACTGCCCTCTAGCACTGATGATGTTACCTAGTTGGGTCATGAAACGTCTACAAGAAAAGCCCCAAAGCTCAGAGAGCACCCAGGACCCCATGCAATCCTCCTCCTCTTCCCCACAAATCCACCATCTCCCTTTTAGCACTGATGCTATCACTTAGTTGGGTCAAGAGAGTCCCTCAGCACCCCTCCTTTCAACCCCGAGCTACAAATACCCTCCTTCATTGGCATCTCAATATGGGCGACGTGCAAAAAGTTCACGTGGTGCAATAGGATTGTGCATTTGTAAGCAGGATTCATTGAGTTAGGGGTTTTTGTTGTTGTTGTTGTCTTCACTGTGAGTTGTACATTCACTGTACGTGTTGCACTCTGACAATAAAGGTTGATTAGATTGTGTTTTTGGGGTGGGGGTTGCACAAAGGGAGGCTCAGCCTATCTCACTGTACGCGTGTTGTGTGTGGCAATAGAGGTTTGAATTGAATCCACCCCCTTCTTCCAAAGGCTGATCCTTCCCATCACCCCCACCCAAAACCCAATCGGGCAGGTTCAGATTCAACCTGGAAAGGGGGCCACGAGGAAACCCCAGGCAAAGGGAGTGGGGGGGGAGGCTGAACCCGGAAGGAGAGGGAGGAGGAAAATAAAGTAAAAGAAAGGAGGCTCCCAGGCATCCTGTCAAGGTGGGACTCGAGGGAGCCCAATTGGGGCGGGAGGGGGGAAGAATAGGGGGTATTGGTCTATAGGGGGACCCCTTGCTTTGCCCTCTTCCCAGGATCCCTTTCCTAGAGGGCCCCCCAGGGAAGCCCCCTCCCCTCCCGAGGCCCCCACCCCCGCCTCACCTTGAGGTCGTTCTCGGGCAGGTACTTGCAGAGCCTCGCTATCTCGACGTACTTATCCAGGTCCAGCGGCGCCATTTTGGGAGAGGCGCTCCGGGGGGGGGGGGCGGGGGGGGGGGGGGGGGGGGGGGGAAGGGGGAGGCGGAAAGAAGAGAGAACAGCGAGAGAGGACCGGACCGGAAGCTGCGAGCCGCTGCACTTCCGGGTTTGGGGCCTATGGTCGGAGAGGCGGGGGTGGGAAGGAAACCCGGGCCGGGCACCGTCAGGTGACGCAAAACCGGCTCGCGGAGGGGTTCAGCCGGTGAGAAGGACGCCGCTTTTTTTTCCCCACCTTCTTCTCTCCGGTCCCGGTCACACCGGAAGTAAGAAAGGCAACTTCCGGTTTTTTGAAAAAAATCGGATACGTGCTTCTTTCGGGTCCGCCTCAGAACCGCTTCCGGTGGCCTGCTTCCGGCTTCTCTCCCAAACTCTCTCTCTCTCTCTCTCTCTCCCCCCTCTTCCCCCGCCCCTCGGGAGTCCATTATGGCGTCGAAACGGCCGCCCTGCCCCGAGGCACGCTGGGATTTGGAGTCCACGCTTTTGCTGGCGGTTTCTTTAAGAGAGGCTGTTGCAATGCCCAGCGGGCGGGCGCTTGGCCGGGGATTAGGGGCATTGGTGTCCAAGCAAGCGTTGCAAAGCCTTGGAATGGGGAAGAAGGTGCAACGGAGGCAGAAGACTTTGAAACAAGCCACAGTTTTCAACCCACAATTATTATTATTATTTTAATATTTTGTGCAAACGCAAAAGGGAGATTTGCACCTTGGCCCGCTCGTGGGCGCCCAATAAATTGCAATAAAGAAACGATAAAACAAATAAATGCAAACAAGCCCCTCCTATGGTTGGGGGAGGTGCCAATCGCCTAGCAACGGCCCGGGGAGGGGGTGGGGTCTGTATGCAAAACCCACGCCTCTTTCCTCCCACCTCCCCCGGCTTCCCCCGTGTTTGCCTCAATGGAGAAGGCGCTGCCGAAGCTGAAGCCCCGGCAGAAACCGCAGGCGGCCACCTGGTACATGTCTCCATGCACGTGTGCATGCGCTTGCTAGGATCAGCGCCAAAAGGGGGCTAGGGATGCTGAAGGCAAGGGTCGGGCGAGGGTGTAGCGGGGAGGGAAGGAGGGGAGATCGCAAAAGCCCCCCCACCTCCCCCGTTTGCAACCTTGCATGCATGTACACAGCAAGGGCAAGGGAGGCTTGGCACGTCTGCACGCGCAGAAGAGCCGGACTTTTGCAAAAGAGCCTTGCCCAAAAAAATGGAAAGAGAGCGGAGCACCCTGAGATAGGCGTCGCCTCCCTTTCTCCTTGGTGCCCCCTTCCGGGTTCAGTTTTAGGCAGGTCTTCTTCGCCACTGAGGATATCCAGGGTGTGTGCAAAATTCCAGGGCCCTCCTTCCCCTTTTGCAGAATTCCTAATAGTCAATAGCACTGGCTTGGGAAAGAAGGGGGGATATTACCCCCTAGAAAATGTACCCCGCTGGACAACTTCATGGGCCTGGTGTTGTCTGTATTTGGGGCAGGGGGAAATCACCTGCATAAATGGGGCCCTTAATGCTCCCTGAGACTTGGCGGTTTTCTTGCAGACCTTTCATGACCCAACTAGATAACATCATCAGTAATGGAGGGAGTGGGGGGTTTGTGGAGTGAAGAAGAGGACTGTGGGGTCCTCTGAGCTTGGCGGTTTTCTTGCAGACCTTTCATGTCCCAACGTGCTAACCTCATCTGTGCTAATGAGTGTTTGCTCCCTGTTTATATACGGTAGCTTTTCTTTTCAGTCTTGGTGGAGTGTGGTTTTCTCCTTGGTGGATCCTTCAGTAGGGTATTGTTTTCCCCTTGATAGTTTGTCTGAATCCCTACTTATCTGGATACTAGATGCTGGTTGCAGAGTGAAACTAAACAGAGAGCAACACCACATACTCCGTAGCACTGACAATGTTACCTACTTGGGTCATGAAACATCTTCAAGAAAACCGCCAAGCTCAGAGAACACCACAATCCTCTTCGTCCTCCTCCTCCTCCTCTCTGCAAACCTCACTCTCTTCTAGCCCTGACAATGTTACCTGGTTGGGTCATGAAACGTCTGCAAGGAAACCACCCAGCTCAGAGATCATCAGAGTTGAACCGCGAGTTACACATATTCTATCAGCAGCTGGATGAATGTTTCCTCTGCTTTTCTCTCTCCCTGTGCCTGCCAGGTATTCCCTTGCCTTATGTGGGAAGAGCCCCTGTGCTCGCGTGGGCCAAAACTCCTTATATCTGCCTCCTCTGGAGCCAGGCAGCAAAAATGGGAAAGTGGTTATTGTCGCCGGAGCAAATCCGAGTGGAAGTTTCGCTGACTCCTATTTTATTGATCTTGGTAAGTTAGGCTAGGAGGGAGAAAGCGTGGGAAATGGGCATTGCTGAATTGAATTTCCTTTGGGTGTGTGTGTGTGTGTGTGTGTCTCGTTTCCATACTGTAATAAAATACATGTGTGCATTAAAAATGACCATGTTTCTAGTCCTTATGGATGCAAGGCATAGCATAGCATAGAATAAAGTAAAATTTCTTTATTGGCCAATGGTGGTCGGACACCCAAGAAGGAATTGGTCTCCGGTGCATAAGTTTACAGTAAAGAGCAAGTCATAGGTCATAAATCATAGTTACCATCATTAATCCTAAGTTACAAACAACAAGTGATAAACCATAAGAAACCAATAGAAGAAGATAATAGGAAAGATGAGTGAAGATGAGAAATAAGACAGCGCAGTGGGAATTAAGTATTCAGCAGAGTGATGCCATGGGGGAGCAAAGAACTATATATCTGGTTGTTTTGGCATGCAGTGCCCTATAGCGGCATCCTAAGGGGAAGAAATTAAAACAGTTTATGTCCAAGGTGTGAGGGGTCTGTAGATACTTTCTTGGCCCTCTTTCTGGTTCGTGCAGGATACAGGTCCTCCATGGAAGGCAGGCTGGTTGCTTTTAAACCAGTTAAAATACCCAGAGCGTAGATCAAGCTGTGCGTAAAGAAAGACACTGGTATGGCGTTTGAAGGCTTGAAGATTTCTCACACGCAAAGAGTTTCCCAATGGGAAATCTTAACAAATTCAGAGCTTCTGTCCTTCTGCTGTAGATGCTAATTGCTGGACGATGCCAGGCTGGGTGAATCTCTTGCCACGGTACGAACACGCTGCGTTTGTCCCCACCAGCCGTCCCAACACCGTCTGGGTGTACGGAGGGGCTAGCGAAACTGGCAACAGGAACTGTGTACAAGTGTTGGATCTTGGTAAGTATTCCCTCTGCTCGGTCCGTTGCTCTTAGCTGAGCCAAATCGGGGGCTGACCGCTGGCCCCTGCCTTACCAACCTGTGATGGCCCAGAGTGTAACACAAACGTCACAAAATCCAAAAGGTAAATAAATGTCCTTTAATGCCAGCATCCAACATTCGTTTAATAGCCATGCCAAACCTTCTTGTTTACTTCCTCTTGTTCTGGTTGGGGGGGGGGGGGTGAGTGGGTGGGGTTGAGGGAACGGCCGTGCCAAATAAACTTGCAAAATCGGGCGAGTTTACACCGTAGCTCAGTCAACAGCCGCTCTGTGGCCTCTGTACAGAATTCCGTAAGACTCATTGTCGGTGTCTACTCATGGCTTTCTCTTCCTAGAATCCGAGTTGTGGGAGAAACCCGAGGTGATGGGCAACCCACCCAGCCCCCGCACGTTCCACACCTCCACGGCAGCCATTGGGGATCGGTTATATGTGTTTGGAGGAGGAGATAAAGGGGTCGATCCTGTCCAAGACCAGCAACTTCACGTATTTGACTCAGGTAAATGAACAAACTTAAGGCTTTAAGTTGCACACAGTTGCAAGGCCTGAAAGAAGTAGGTGAACTGCAAATCCCAGCCTTCCATGCAACATTTGTTATTTTGGGCTGGGGTTGTTTCACCCATCCTACTAAACCATCCTTTGCTTCTCCGGAAAATGGGCACGTTAGAAAAACATCTTCGTTCTAACAAGAGCCACGCAGTGGTTAGAGGGCAGTACTGCAGGCTCCTTCTGCCGACTGCCAGCTGCTTGCAATTTGGCAAGTTCAAATCCCACCTGGCTCAAGGTTGACTCAGCCTTCTATCCTTCCGAGGTGGGTAACATGGGGACCCAAAATTGTTGGGGGCAAGAGGCTGACTCTAAACTGCTTAGAGAGGGCTGTAAAAGCCCTGTGAAGCAGTATATAAGCCCAAGGGCTGAGTGCTACTGCTAGTTTGAGGAGAAGCAAGCTTAATTTTGTTTCCCTTTCCAGCCACGTTGACGTGGTCGCAGCCAGAGGTGCATGGTCAGCCTCCTGCTCCTCGGCATGGTCACGTGGTGGTAGCTGTTGAGAATCAACTGTTTGTACATGGCGGCTTGGCAGGGGACACGTTTTACGATGACCTGTTCTCCATTGACATAAGTAAGCATACCCTGTGGTGTTAAAATTAGCAACGAAGTTGTGTTTGAGTCTCCTCTCCTCTCCTCTCCTCTCCTCTCTCTCTCTCTCAAAAAAAGCAGATCTGATCTTTCCAAGCTACCTCCAGCATTTTGTAATCACCGACACCAAAATGGCTGCTATAAGGACCTATCCCAAAAATTCTTCCAAATGAAACTTTGGGGCTGTCCTTTCCCACTATTTCATTTTGCTGTCTGAAACTCTCCTGTTGTTTTTAATTTAAAAAAAAAATCTTTTAAAGGAGTTGAGGGGAGAACAATGGAAGAACTTGAGCATCTCTAAGAGAGATCTAACTTAGAACTAAGAGAACCAACCTAGAATTAAGGAGAAATTTCTTGACCATGAAAACAATTCACCAGTTGAAATGGCTTGTGGGTGCTCCCATCACTTCCATTTGTTTGGAATAATATAACGTCTCCAGTTTGAGCGGGGGGGGGGGGGGTGGGACTAGAAGACCTCCAAGGTCCCTTTCCAACTCTTTGTTATTCCGTCTGAGGCCAGAGAGTTGAGCTCCATTTTGGGTGATCAGCCATGGATGATCCAAGGGTAGATAGCTTTGATTTCAAATCCTCCTTTCGCCAAGATCTTTCTGGTTCTCCCTGGCTCAGACTGATCTGTGGGA